TGTGTGTGTGTGTGTGTGTGTGTGTGTGTGTGTGTGTGTGTGTGTGTAATCTTTCACTACCTGTGTGTTTCAGGGACACCTCTGGTCAGGGACGGTTCTGCACCATCTTCAGATCTTACTCCAGAGGAGCTCAGGTATGTTTCCCTCACAGTGGGACAGCAGCATCATGTTGGACAGCTGGTACCTGAATCTATCACACCTTCATATCCCTCATGTTCACGCTTTATATTTAAGAGGTAGATTTTACTGCTTGTTTTCTTTAATCGAACACCTGAGTCCAGAGATTACCTGAAGGACTCAAGAGTCCGTGTTGTTGTTCTGACCTCCGACTGAGGAAGTGTGAAGTCGCTTTGTTACGTTCTCCCAGTGGAGACAAAAAGAAAAACACTTTTCTTTGAATGAACTTGTCGTCGTCGCTCGATCTGGCTTTTAGTGGTACTGAGGAGGTATCACCATGGCAACAGGGACAACAGCTGATCATGAATTAAATAGTGTGTGTGTGTGTATGTGTGTGTGTGTGAGAGAGAGAGAGTTGATGCTGACCAACAAATCCAGAAATATAGGAGGCAAAAAAGTAAAAATGTTAGTTAATTATTCATACATTTTAGTTAATTAATTGTAATTTTTTTTTTTTTCTGTGGTTATCAGGGAGTTATTCTGGTGTACGACATCACCAACCGCTGGTCCTTTGATGGGATCGACAGGTGGATCAAAGAGATAGACGAGGTCAGTGATCAGTCAGTCAGTCAGTCAGTCAACATGATCCACTTCCTGTCAGAGCTTCTAAACACATCTGAAGAGACGTTTCTCTGCAGTCAGCACATGTTTACCGCTCAGATGTTACTGAATCTCAGCTCCGCTGTGGATGAGTCAGCTGCGTTCACAACAACAACCCACTCACTGCAACAATGCTGCTCTGAACAGGAACACTGTACAGCACAACACACTGTACCAGTTTACCAATCTGATGTTATGACTCTTGTTTTTATAGCCTACTTAGCTGCGAGTTCTGGGTTATATCCAAGACTGTAGTGTCGTGGTTGTACATTATTTTTATGTATTTTTATGTCAGTTAAATCAGGTTCCATTTCAGCAGGTTTTAAACTGCTTTAAAATCCTTAAATTTCATTTTCAGACTCAAACCAACAGTGAATCCATCTACTAACAAGTTTCCTTATATCATTAAAACACATCAATGAGCCTCACTGTTGCTCCTTCATCACCAGCAACACACGTTTTTACTCAATACGAATACTCACCAGAGCACCAAATGTAGAATAATATAAAATAGTTCCCAACAAATAGACTTGAATCTTCTTCCTCCTGGACTAAATTGCCTTGATTCTAACCTGAACCTTCAATCAACCCAAACTGTCCTCGCTTTGCAGCAACGTGTCTGTGGTCCCCACAACGATAGATAGGCATGCAAACACCCAAAGGACAAGCCCCTTACAATTATTAATACGTTTCTTATAAATTAAGACACTTATGTTTGAGCTGATGTCTGGTTTTACCCAGCATGCCCCGGGGGTTCCCAAGATCCTTGTCGGGAACCGCCTCCACCTGGCCTACAAGCGACAGGTGACCACGGAGCAGGCGCAGGTGTACGCGGAGAAGCTGGGCATCACCTTCTTCGAGGTCAGCCCGCTGTGTAACTTCAACATCACCGAGTCCTTCACTGAACTCGCTCGAATCGTGCTGATGAGACACGGCATGGAGCGACTGTGGAGGCCCAACAAAGGTCAGTCAGCACGTGATGAAAGTTAATTGTATCATTTCAAATGTCTTATTCAGCGTTCAGCTGTGTTTAGCTCCACCTTCTCGTGTCAATTCTGGTTCTAAATAACAAGATGGCGACGGCCAAATCGCCGAACTCAAGGCTTCATAACGTCAGTCCACAAACCGATGAGTGTCGTCACGATGACTACGTCCACTGTGCTTTTCAACATAGATGAAAGCAACACTGTGTCATTCAGTAAAGTTCTCTTCCTCTCTGAGAGTCAGATGTTCAGATTGATGTCACCGTCACATCTGTACGGTAAATAAGAAACTACAGCCAGCAGCTGGTTAGCTTAGCTTAGCATAAAGACTGCAAACCTGTTAACGTCTTAATATCTGGTGCCTTTAATGACAAATGGCACGTTGAGATTCGGTTGTTTACTGATGACATCATGTTTCTGTCTCCATGTAAACTGGTGACTATTGACAGGCTGATGCTGCCCTCTGCTGGACAACACTGAAACATAAAAAACCCTCTTCACTCTGTTGTGCCATGATGATGATGATGATGATGATGATGATCTCTGTCTCAGTGTTGACTCTCCAGGACCTGTGCTGTCGCTCCATCGTCTCCTGCACTCCGGTCCACCTGGTTGATAAACTCCCGCTCCCTCTGGCTCTGAAGTGCCACCTGAAGTCCTTCTCCATGGCCAACGGCCTCAACGCCCGCATGATGCACGGACGCTCCTACTCCGTCACCGCCAACGGCAACGGCGGCGCCAACGCCCACCACGGCACCACTAAGAGGACGGGAGGAGCGCTGCTGAAAAAGACCAAACTAATCCGCCCGCCACCGCTCAGCCCGTCTGCACAGAGCTGCAGGAACAGCTGTAAGATATCCTAACAGATGGGTCAGTGAACGCACCGTCTCCTGTTGTGTGAGACCACCAAGTCTACTGTTCTCTTCAGACTGAGAGGTTGGTGGTTACAGCTTTACATATCTGTTACCGCCATGAATGAGCAGCAAGAGGAGGACACAGAAACACAAGAGAACTCGAGGAGTTGAAGTCCTGCTGTCTTTTTAAAACAGTTTCCTCTGAAGTCCTTCTGAACTTCTGAGACGTGCTCATATTCACAGATTGATGACACCTCGTCACTTTACAAACATAAACATGTTCTTCATCTGCTCTCCAGCTGTCATGTTTCTGTTTACAGGTATAAATACAGTTACATTAAAGAAACACAGAACTCAAAACAACAAAACAAAAATGTTTTATATCATTAATATTTGTAAAGTCAGATCTCTGTACATAAACAGCTGAAAGTCTCTAAAATCAGCTGGAAGACTTGTTGAAAGGAAACTGTTGATGGATTCACCTGGAACAGCTGTTTGATGTATTTGTGGTTCTGTTTTGTTGTTGTGAAGAACTGTCCAATCAAAGAAGAGGTGACATCATGTCCACGTGGACGACATCAACAGGAAACACTGTCAAAATAAAAGAGCGAGTATGTCTTCTTTCTGCAGCCGCCGGTAAATCAAACCAACGTTCATCAGTTCATCAGGACGACAACCTGAGATTCAGAGATAATGTTGAAATATCTTAGAATAAATGTAACGCCGTGATAAAAAGACGTTTTCATTTTCAGGAAGAAAAAGAGATATAATTGTAATCATGATATTTTATAACTTGCTGTTGTCCTCGCTCCAGGAGGTCGATCTTATTATGATGCAGCTGAATGTTCCTGTAACAGTGAGTTGTGTTCACTGTCAGCTTCTCCCTCAGGACGTTTCTAACTCTTATTTGGACGCTTCATTCTTCATGATCAGCTTCTTCTTCATGGCCTGTTTCTCATGTACAGCTGCAGCTTGTGTACAATATTTGTACGTATTGTAAATATCACTGTTTGATACGATGATAAGTGACCACGTGGGGTTTTGTATCCGTGACACCAAAGACTCACCTGTCACTGAACACACAGGTGAGTCTTTGCAGCGTTTATCAACGTTTAAAAAGAGACACCTTTACAATGAACTCCTCCCACCGTGAGCGGCTGCTTTGTGGTCGAATAAAGGAGAAATATTCCCAGACAGGAAGGAGAAGTTGTGTGTGTTTAACCAAACCACCCAAAACCCATAAAGCCCGAAATAAACTCACTCAACACGATGGTACAGAGAAACAAGAAGAGGAATTTAAATTAATGCATGCAAATAATAAAAAAATAGAATTGGGACAAATATAATGTAATAATATTATTTCATTATAAATATATATATATTTATATATATATATATATATATATATATATATATTTATATATATATATTTATATATATATGTATATATATTTATATATATACGTATATATATTGTGTTATTGGACTATAATTATTGATAAATTAATGTTGATCACTTTAATGTTCATTTTAATTACTTTATATACGCTGGGTAGCTTAAAAAATATATCATAGTGAATGAGTTGATTTATAATGTGTATTAATCTAAATCTAAAGTAAAAAGTACAAGAGTTCCCATGATACTCATGGGAGTATCTTGTACTCCCATGATACTCATGGGAGTACAAGATACTCCCATGAGTATCATGTAGATGATGCATCAACCTGTAGTTCTTATTAATAACTACAGGTTCTCACTACGGTTTGACTCTTTATGAGATGAATTAATGTGCGTACAGCATCTCTACATGGATTCATGTACATACATGATACACTCTGAACCTGAACTCTGACAAGGAGTCTGTTTTTAAATCACAAATAAATAAAATAAACATTTGAAACTCATCCGTTGTATACTTGTTGGTGTTAAAGTGTTAAAAACCTTAAAACACAATGATGTAGTACGTAGTTGAATAAATGTCTCGACCCATGACACGGATAGATTAGTGCGGCTCCATGTCGGAGTCGATGGCAGTGAGAAGAAAGATCAAACAGCAAAAAGGTCTTTGAAGAGAAATAACGTGAACGTAGATATAAGTAAGTCAGAAGCTAAAGCAGTGATTAAGAGACAAATCAAAAGGATATATAAGAAGAAACGTAATAAAGAGAGTAAAGGAAGATATCTGTTTAAAATAAACCCTTGGATGAGAAGATCTAGTGGAGGGGATAGTGTGAAGGATTTCACTATTAGAAACATTATTAGTAGGATTTAATAACACCCCAAGTGGTGAGTAGAAGTGTCACAATAAGAATGTCGAAATATGTTAAAAAGTCACAATATGTTTACTTATGGAATGTATTATATGTTTACAATATTCTTACTTGTAGAGGATATTATATGTTACAGTATTTTACTCATTGAATGTATTAAACCATAGAAGTATAGTCACTAAAGGTATTAAAACACTGTATGATTAGTTTTGAGGGTCAGAAAGGGAACATTTGGAGTGAGTCGTTACAGAGATGCAGCAGAGAACAGAGGGATGGACAACTGACCAGCAGGTCACAGGAGGAGGAGTCCGGACGACTTCATCCAAACACTAAGATGATAACTGCCCGAAGCCAGGAGGGGCTATTGAATTTCGGCCAATCACAGAGGCTGATACTGGACATTTAAACTTTCAGACAGAGACTTTTAAATATAGGCTTTGTTCCAGAGGGTTTTGCCAGAGTTTGCGCTGTTACCACTCTGTGTAGTTGACCAGCTGGACTGGGCTATTTAGTGGGCCTTGTGAGAACTCTGACCCGGGGACATGTTGATATCGATAGAGTAATTCAGTTTGCAACTGTTCCAGCTTCTCTTGTTTATTAAATACTTTTTGATTGTTAACTGGATCCAGTTCATTTTTGGTGCGACTCCGCTGCCGAAGGTTTGCAGCAGCGAAGGTCCAGCGGTCTGGGTCTCCCCTGAAAACATCTGGCTCTAACAATAGGAAGGAGGAGGTGATGAGAGGATCTAGTGGAGGAGAGAGGGAAGAGGAGATGATGAGAGGATCTAGTGGAGGAGATAGGAAAGAGGAGGTGATGAGAGGATCTAGTGGAGGAGAGAGGAAAGAGGAGGTGATGAGAGGATCTTGTGGAGGAGAGAGGAAAGAGGAGATGATGAGAGGATCTAGTGGAGGAGAGAGGAAGGAGGAGGTGATGAGAGGATCTAGTGGAGGAGATAGGA